TAGCCTGGGAACAAAGCTCAAATCATCATGAATATGTTGGAGGTAACAAGGCAACAGGTTGTGCATATAAAGTTGGAGGTTATGTAAATGACCAATCCCGAATTCAGAGAATATAATACCCATGGATCCCTGGTGAAAGAACCCAATATGACCATAAAAAGTTGTAAACATGGCCCCACTGCTCACCCACCCATGGGATAAACACCGACGCTGTTGCCAACTGTCTGTCAGAGCCCAAAATCCTCGAGAATACAGACAGACTCTAATATGGAAACTAATAAACCTAGTAACTGAAGGAGGAGGTCGGGAAAAACCAAGAGCTGACACTCCCAAATTAGCACCAGAAAGGCAGAGTTAAACGACGATAAAAAAGAATGTAAACAAACTGAATCAAATCGCAATTCTAACATCTCTGGAACTCCATCAAAGAACCTGGGACAGAGAAAAGGAGCTTCCAGGAATTCCCAGAAATCAGAAGATGGTAAACAAACATTTTTTAACAAAACATTTCTACCCAATAAAACTCAACAACAAACCAGCCAAGAAACTAGAGAAAGAACTGAAGAAGACAATCTGACTGTGGTAGACATCAGCAAAATCCCCAACTCCTCCTCAAATTGCCAAGGAGAACATTGATTGGCTTGCAACAAAAGTTGGATCGAAGATAAATGATTCAAAACAGTCATGAGAGCAAGATGAATCCGATAAAACTGTGATCTTCGTAAAGTAATCACAGGTTCCAATCAAGACCCACATAGGTCCATTTGTTGATAATCTAAATATACCTCCTCCTGGCAGTGATAAGCCAAAGCCTGCTCTTCTGATAAATTGGGGGGCCAGTCATAGCTATCCCATCACGTAACTGAGTCGCAAATTTTCCAGCATGAACAGAAATGTTAGGAGAAGGAGTAAAAACCAAGTAGTCACTTGCTGTCCTTGTTGCCAACAAGGAAGGGGGAGAGCCAAATACAATAGAAGAGACCTCTAAAACTGGAGTAACCAACTGAAGAAAAATGGTCTGGAGATGGTTGACCAAAATGATCCTCTGTTGAGGCCAACCTAGTAAAAGAAGGAGCCAAGAAAAACGAGTCTAAATTCTCCCCAGCTGGTCTGGATCATTTGCAAAAGCCACCTCAGAACCCCCTGGAGACACCCTCAATCTGCATATATGTGTCCATCTCACAGACAGCCTCAACTGAGAGTGACCCCTCCCCTAGTCATTGACAAACACCAGATAACAGAAGTAGGAGAGAAGAGGTCTGAATCTCCTTCATAATAGAAACATTAACTCAGGAATTCATACCCTTCGATACATTTTTTTAATTATTTTCATTATTATTATTAAAGTAGTTTATAATTATACAAAGATATAACTGTAGCAATGCAAACTACAATCAAAGTTGCAACATTAATTTGCAATTAGAACTTGCCAAGGGCATTCAAGTGAGGTATAAAAGTGTTTTTAATGCTTAGATGGGCAAAGAGTGGAAGCCCTGGAGATCAAGAAATAGCTATAGTGTCAATGGAGGTAAGTAAGTTTTGGAAAAAGCATAGCCCAATGAGGTATGAAAACAAAATGCCAGGGGGGAATGTTGGTGTGATGGAAAGCCCTTGAGAAAGCACTAGTAAATAAGTGCAGATCTGGATGAGGTGGAAGAAAAGGGGAACTTGCAGTGATAAATTCTCAATTGAGCCAAACCTGAAGATAGATGAGAATATCAAGAGTAAGGGATATTCTCTGAGGTTTGAATATGTTGCTACTGAGAGATAAGATACTACAGAGAAAGCTAACTACACGACTGATTGCAAGTCAATGACTGTTGTAAAGACTGACCAAGAAAAAGCCAATTGTCTATATAATGATTAAAATGAATACTGAAAGGGTAAAGCAGACCAGCAAATACTTTGACTACATGTAAGAAGACATAAGGTGTTGCAGATAGACCAAAAAATGAGGATTGTGAATTGATAAACTACTTCCCAATGGTAAAAGCAAAGAAAATGTTGAGAAGTCAGGTGAATCAGAACATGAAATGTGAAATGTCCAGGTAATGACTAGGATGGAAAAGATCTATTACTACTTTTCAATCTCCTGATTCTTCAACACTATGAAAAGATGAGATTGAAAGCCTGGAGATTCATAATGTACTGTTTTGATAGCCCCATTCTGTAAAGACTCAAGATTTGTAAACAAACTGGAGAGTCAGAAGAGTAAATGAAATTGGAACAGTTAAAAGTGGAGGAGGATGAAATTGAACAGAAAATCCAAATTGAAGAATTTAATGAACCGCAGGGTCCCAAAGTCAAGGGTTTCAGAGAAGAACACGTGATGGCAGATGTCCCCTTCCCCCAAAACAAATTAAGGTAGGAGCTGTCATGTAATTCAAAAGGAGCAAAAATAATAGGAAGAAGCAGGACAACATTAGACAAAAAACTGAGTTGATGCACATGGCCAGAGCTTTAATTAACTGCTGCTAACAAGCTTCACCTGATTAAGAAACTAATTTAAAAGAAACATCTGCAAACACAATGGGATGCAAGTAAGAGGATCTTTACATGTCATAAGAGATACTGGAGGGGAGTAAAATAGCGCTACAAGCTAATAAACTAAAAGAACAAGCAAGCCACATGGTAACTAAAACCAAGTCAGAAAGAGCTGCAGAAAGAGAAACATGTAAAGCATTCATATGCTCCTGAGAAATAAGCATCAAAAGACTGAGAATGGCAGAGAGATATTGAGCTGAGGAGGAGAGTCATAAAATAAAAATAATTATTAGTAAAGCTAAGAAGACAGGGTGGCTAACTCCCTAAAAATCTAATATGAGGTCTTTCATAATGGCCTCTATTTCTAAAAGCATCAGCCATAATTCAAATGCCAGAAGAAGGAAGGAGAAATAAATATTCCAAAATGGAGTTTTCTAACAAACCACTAGAAATTTCTGGTGAAACAGAATTTGATTCGAGATTTAAAATTTTACATTCTTGAGATACAAGAAAAGTTTCAGCAGAAGTTTTATCAGGCCTAAGGTTGGCTAGTAAATCCTGCTTTTTAGATAAAGATAAAAAATCCTGGGCAAAAGAAATAGTTTGTTCTTGGAGAGTGAAGAAAAAAAAAAAAAAGAGAGTAATGATCCTGTTAGATATACATGACTATTTCAGTTTAAGTTTAGCATGAGTGTTAAATTTAGTTATTTTTGAAGCAACAGTTTATTGCAAGTTTGTTTATGTAACTGTTCACAAGTTATATGTTGTGTAGTTCAATAGCTATGAATTAGTGATTGTTATATTATCGTATCATGTTACTAGAACCTTCTAAGTTTTTCTTGTTGTTTTAATTGAGTATTATTGCATCATAATATCTCGTAGTGAGTGGCAACTTCAAGGCCTCTTTCGAACTATAAATATGCATTGAAAACGTAGTTAAATACTTAGATCTGGACTGAATTATTGTAAGTTTAGCCATAAAAAGCTTATAGTAATGAATTTTAAAGTGAAATTATCCCACATTTTATTGTAAAAACAGGGTAGAGAAGAATAATTTGTTTTTTCAATTGTGTTCTAAAATAATTGAACCAACCAGCCTGTGTGGACTTTGACGAAAAAAAAAAGAGAATTATTTGAAGCTCTGGATATAACTGTGGTAACCAACAGTTATAGTGGTGATCTTAAAGTGAAATTATCACAGACTGTATTGTAATAACAGAGCAGGATGAATAATTTGTCTTGTCAAATTCTGTTCTAAAGTAACCTATCCAGGCTGTGTGGACTTTGACAAACAAAAAGGAACAATTATTTAAAGCTCTGGATACAAATGTGGTAACCAACAGTGTCACAAACAAACATTTGATTTGTTTTAATATATTATTTTAAAACAAGGAGACTGTGTGATGTTTGTTTCTTCTTGAAATTTATCACCAACAAGTCACAGACGCCTACTGTAAAGAATCCGGCCCATACATAAAACAAAGCCTGACAGACCCATTAAATTAGCATCCAAGAGACCCTGCTACATACCAGTGAAACCCAGAGAAGACTTGGCATTCATGCTCCAAATACTTTGGTCAATAACGCTATGGGAACTCACTACATGCCAGGGAAAGAAGTAAAGGTATTTCTATCACTAACTGAAGGATTAGCCTCAGATTTCACGTGAACCTCAGAATCCATCTCACATAAGAGAAGCACTAACTGAAGAATTAGCCTCAGATTTAATGTTAACCTCAGAATCCATCTTACAAAAACAAAGACTTTGCACACAACATGAACAGCATGTCTGTCTATAAAATAAAATCTGATTTATGGTAGGAAATCAGAGATTATGTAAGATCTCCTGACACAACAAGTCACGTGGGAGAGTTATAGACAAATGATACATCCTCCATAATACATAACGAACATTGAAAATTTTGAGTCACATTGTTTGGCAGCATGAAAACAAACTCAACAAGGAAAGGCTTACAGTATTTCAAAGGTAAGACTTGAATAATCTCTTTTCATTATCACAAAAATAATAACTTAAGTTCTCTTAACTATTCAATATCTATAAAACAGTCTTCTTTTTAATTCTACTGGGTAGTAACCTGCAGCTCCACCAATATGATCACGTAAAAACTTTTAAATGTTTGAAATTATTGTTCTTAATTCTCCAACAAAAAACCTAATTTGAAACATGTCTTGAAACTATATTAGATCTTTTCATAGATTTTCTGAATTTAAGAAGTGATAGTAAACTGATTCTATAAGTAGGGAATAGAGATCTGGTTAGGTTTTTTTTTGTATAATGTCAGGTATAAATAACAGTAACCATATAGGTACTTAAAATAAAACTCGTTAAAAATACGCTACATTACCAAAACATTTGGTAGTAATGTTTGTACAAGATGACATATTTGGTTAAAGAAAAACTTAAAACTACAAAATTAGTGTTATCTATATAGTGTTATAAAATCTATTCTATATGAACTGTACATTACAATCTGTTATGCTCTCATAATACATACCTTTGCTTTTTCATCCCATCCAATAATGACTCCTCTGTATTTCCAAATCTTATGCACAATAACTTGACCCACCCGATATTTTATAGTCGGAAGTCTTGGATTTCTTGGTTCAGGTGAAGCTGCAAAACAAATGACTTACTTTATCGTTAGGATGAAAATGTTTTCTAGCAGAATCAAGGATTTTTTTGTACTGACTTTTACTTTTCTACTTTCATCTCTACATTTTCAATATATTTTCTCTAGTTGTTTCTTTCTTTCATATTTCTTTGTAACTGCTTGAACTGTCTTTGAAGTACGTATATTGCCATGAATTCAATAAAAGTTAAGTTTTACGGAACTACTAAATATTTCTACTGGTCTTAAGACTGTTTATAGATGTAGTATCCTAACAACAGATAAAATATTTAATTACTCTTTACCCTTCCACAACATAAAGATCATATTGTTAATACAGCGGAAGTCACTTGACACTGGGGGCATCCGTGCTGTAGTTTCTCGAATTATCAAGGAACCCCGCAAATGTCCGAGTGTTTGCTAGACACCCTCTTTTTTTTAGTATATAAGCCTGGCGAGAAAAACCAGTATTATTGAAGAGATAGATAATTGAATCAAGCGAACAGTAGGCACCGTAAGTAAAGTTTGTGA